ATAGTACACACCATTGTGCATGCCTCCTTGTAAATTTACCAAATAGAGAAAGGAAAAGTCAAGGCTAACAACAAAATAGCATGTAATATAAGAACATGCAATTTATAGTTTTTTTATATCACTTTTCATTCTTTAGATATTCAACTTTCCATTATTAATTTATGTAGTTCACCATCTTGATTCTTACGCAAAGGATTATGGGTAAAGTATGACATATAGACACTGTTGTCAGAAATTGAGAAAATGATTTCATCTATAACTTCAAAAGTTTAACTTCACATTGGCTGAAAGTTTAGAACATGGTAGCATACATGTACCATGATATAGTGATATATGCTTTGAGCTCCCATTTATGGTTGTAAGTGCAGATTGCACTGATTGACCAAAAGGGTTGTTTTACTACATCAAATTTTTGTGTGATTGACATTGAAACTTACCAGAACCATCTGTAGCAGGAGCAACTTCATTGCCATACAAAGCTGTTTCCAATGCTTCTATCTGTTCTGCTGTCAATAAATCCCTGGTAGAATCACTAATATAGTTAACTTGATCTGAACCCAAATTCTCCAACTGTGCCGCACTTAATGCCTATCGATGCAAATTTCAGATAAATGATTAATCATAAGAGCTGTGTTTTCAGACAGACACACACACAGACTGTAGAGCACACAAGTTCCCTGCACCACCATGTGACATCTAAATTTGTGCTCTAAAATGATTTTTGTTTTTTAGACTATCTGGCGCCCTCTCAGTTTTCTGTGGGAGAAGGCCTTTCAGCTGAACTTGAAAATTATAGAGGAAACCATGATAAGCACTCCCATGAATGCAAGGACATTCACTTCACAAATTAAAATAAGTCATTATGTATAACGGAACCCTTCAGCATATACTAGGTATACTTACACCCAACACTTCGCCTCTGATTATGGAAAATGTCAAGGCTTGAATACCAGCCAACTGATCCTCGGACAAAGAAGACAACTCATTTGCAGTTGTACCCGCTGCAAAGATATAATAAAAAAAAATCAGTAAACGCATTTAAAAATGTCTGCAACTGATCTAATGTGTGAGAACATTCAGAATGTTCTAGTAGATTTACTTCGTGAGATTCAATGAAATTCGCAAAAAATAGTAGCAGTGAACATTTTTCCAGAGTTCTAAATTGTGTCTTCACGGATGGCAATTCTGAAATGACAATATATTACAGCAGTAAAGAAATAAACTGTTAACAGTAATTAGTTTTGTGTAATTTTGATTACTGTTCTAGCAATAAACTTTCTTTAGGATTACAAAATAATACGCTGTTGATGCAATTTTATTTAATAGAAGCACAATATTGTTTAAGTGAATTTGGTTAGCAGTCCATGCACTCTGTCTTTACACATACACTAACTAAAAATGACAGAGACTTCATGGTATCCTATGAAAGGTGGGTGACACACAGTCATTTAACAACCACTGGTAGTATAGACATATTTGAGTAATTAAATAAAAACTGACCCATAAAGACACCAGCTTCACCAATATCTTCTTCCAACCAATTGCTGATATCACTGTCCCCATAAATTTGTCGACACAAGTCCAGAAAGGCATCCAGTTGGTCATGATTGAACGACGTAATCTCGGAAAGAACAGCAATCGCATCCCTGTGGATAGGGGGAAAAAACAAGTTTATTTCCTAGAAAACCACTGAAAATTTTAAATTTTTGTGGGTTGCATTACTTTGTCACACTTAACCAGAGAGTACTGTGACCCACACTAAATTTTGTTCATGTGCAGCTACATTTAATTGTAAAATTGAACATTTGTAGAGCTGTTATACATGAATTCATTGTGAAAATATGATTAATCATAAAAATTAAAATAAAGGCAAGTTAAGACATAAATTAATGGTCAAGGTCATCTGGTCTTTTTTACAAAAATTTGTCAAAAGGTTATGTATGTGCTGGTAAACTCACTTAAAGGCATCAATGTCAATCTGTGTCACTGAAGAGGAATCTAAAGCAGCTAGGAAATACATCAATGAGCTAAGGTCAGTAGCATCCAGTGTATCTGCAGTCTTTCCTGTCAGTGTCAAATACTGGGTAAGAGCAGCATCCGCTTGCTGTTCACTCCATCCATCATACTGCGAGAGTGCCTCCACCACAGAGTTGGAATCGATATTTGCCGTAGAAAGTTCACTGTGAGTCAAACCTTGAGCAATGCATCCCAAGCTAGTAAGATCACTACCGGACCATTGACTGACATCTGCACCATAAACCTAAAATCGAAAACAAAAAATATATAATAAAAACGTAAGTCAAACCTGTGTATATAAAGATGACCTGCCTATAGTGACCACCTTTAGGTAGTCCCAAGGCATAATGTATGAACAACCTGTGTGCAAATACCACCTGTCCATAGTGACCACTGTTAGGCTGTGCTAAAGCATAAAGTATGGGCAACCTGTGTATAAAGACCTCCAGTCTATAGTGACCACTTTTAGGCAGTTCCAAGATATAACATTTGAAAACTTGTGTATAAAGACCACTTGTCTATTGCGACCAGTTTTAGGCAGTCCTAAGGCATAACGTAGTGTAACCTGTGTATAAAATACACCTGTCTATAGTGACCAGTTTTAGGCAGTCCCAAGGCATAACGTAGTGTAACCTGTGTATAAAATACACCTGTCTATAGTGACCAGTTTTAGGCAGTCCCAAGGCATAACGTAGTGTAACCTGTGTATAAAATACACCTGTCTATAGTGACCAGTTTTAGGCAGTCCCAAGGCATAACGTAGTGTAACCTGTGTATAAAATCCACCTGTCTATAGTGACCAGTTTTTGGTTGTCCCAAGGCATAACGTAGTGTAACCTGTGTATAAAATCCACCTGTCTATAGTGACCAGTTTTTGGTTGTCCCAAGGCATAATGTATGCAAAACCTGTGCATAAAGGAAACCTGTCTTATGTGACCATTCGTTCAGCAATATTTGTGCAGATTCGCCTTTGTTTAGTGACCAAAGTAATAATTAGCATTCTGTTTAAAAAACAATTTTTATTATTCCCAAATAAAAATTTTTTTGTTGAACAGTACCATCTCATTTTTTTTTAATATGTCAAATGTATGAGTTGGTCATCCATAAAAACAAAAAATAAACCTGTCTATAAAGACTATCACCCTCATTAGCATCTGACATGACTAGTAATTAATGTAAGTTTATATTAGTACAATAAGCATCTTGATCATGGCCTCTGTGATTTAAATGCGAGTGAGACAACCATAGTGTTCCTTTCTCTTTCGTCATCAAGTGCACAGTTTAATGATTCAAGGGCAACAGTTGCTGCAACAACTTTTGAGAATGATACACTATTTGAGCTGCAAAAACAAGACCACGACTCATTCACTCTCAACAAGATCTCATCTGATAATTTGCAAACAAGGATTATTGGAAAGTGTATTCCAATTTTTATTTCCAATTTTAACTTACCTCTTTAGCCTGACTGATTAGAGCGGTGAGTTGATCTTCAGACCAAGAACAGATTGTACTCATGTAGTCCAGTGCACAGGTGAAGTCATCGGTTGTCCATGAGTTGATCTCTTCTGCACTGAAAGCTGTACAGTATTCTTCAGCCCTGGCAATCAAGTCACATGGTGATGAAGTCTCTATACAACATAACAAATCAAGGAATATATATATATCAGCATATGATATGAAGCAACTGATTCACTAGTGAATCATTGATGCAATAGAAAATCATACATTAATTAAGTGAGCATGAAAAACATCTTATTATAGTTGTGGAATTTGTAATTTTTTTTTAATGTTTTTGTGCCAGGCGACAGTTCTGAACATTGAGTGTCACTGTTTTCTCTGCTGACATATAGTGAATTTTGCCACAGAAGTCATATTCATGTTTGGGACTACATGCGTCAACCAGGCTCGGTCGAACACAAGCACCTGCGAACCTTAACCAGGGTTCCTCCAAAGTCTCATTCATTAGTGAATGAATCTCGGCCAGTGGAATTGGCCTTCCCATCGAATCTGTGGCACTCTCACCCAGGGTAGGGGTCGACCCTTTTGATGTTCAGCCTAAGGTAGGATTTGAACTTGGGTTTAGGTATAAATATGTACATAAGATAATAATAATAATACTGATCATGAGTCTGATGCAACACCACTATTGCTATCATATTCTTTTTCTCGAAGATCAACTTCCCATACAGTCAGAAAGTTGACTTAATTTTGGAAGATTTCATTTTGAATCAGAATGTACAAAATCGATCCTGTTACACTGTAACACACTGATTTCTGGCAATTTTAGAATTAGAAGACATGACAGTAGTATTGAAATTATGATCAAGTGATTACATAATGTTGTAAAAGGAACAGAATATTTAATAGAGAATGAACAATGGGGAATGATATTCAGATATGTACATAGAGTACGTTTGATGATTACAAATAGTTTACTGTGACTCACCACGGCGACGGCGACGTTTTGATTCAGTACTGCTGCCATCTTGAGCCTGCTCTATCAAAGCACTTCGCTGTTCATCTTCGGCTGTATTTTCACCATCTTCATCCTTGCGATCAAAACGACACAGTCGTTTTGCTTCCTTTGACAAATCTAACACAGTATCAAGTGCATTCTCATCAACGATCTTGGTATAGATTGTATCCTACAAGAAATGAAAAATACATTTTGCATTTCACAATCTGAGGAAAACAAAAAGATTAAATTCTATTTTCTACTCAGAAAAATTGATTATAAAAATACCCCCAAAAATGTTTATTTATAAAATTAATGGTGGGCATAGAGGGCACTTATCTTACCGCATCAACTGCTGCAGTGTCATCAGGTGCTAAAAATAGAATCAAATCATCAAGGTAATCCACCATTGCATTATCATCTATACTGGTTGCACTGTAAAAAAAAATGCAAAAATTGAGTTTCATTGGAGAGCACACTTCATGCAACAGGCAATAGATCCCGAATAATCACAGACAAATACTTGTCTAGTAAAGCTTGCTTACCCAGTAGACTCCATAACTCTGTCCACAATGGCCTGTCTCTGTAACTTTCTTAAACAGCACTGCCCGGATGTTGAAATATAATCAGACAAAGCATCTTCTTCAATATTGGCAATAGATTCAGGAGTAAGGCCACAGGCCAAGCCACCCAGACAGTTCAACACATCAGAGGTGATTGGGTCAGTTTCACCAATCTCCTACACAGAGAGAAATGAATAGATCATCAGCCTATTTAACTTAGTTTGCTTTAATGTACAATGATTGCTGCTTTATCAGGAATGAATATAAATGGCTACCATATTTGCTTTTCAGTAACGGAAGCACCTGTTTTTATGTAAATGAAAGAGGTGTGTCAAACTAAGGTATATTTTTAATGATCCAGTATACATTGCATGCAAAGCTGGTTTACATTGCTCTTATATTGGAGATGTGTTTTTAATAGAGAAAATAGTTATGCTATAGAATGTAAAAAGTAATTAAACTACAAATTCCTCACAAATATTATTCTGCTCAAGAACAGACAAATATCAGTGTAAATCAAGGATATGCGGTGAAAATCTAAATATTAAATTGTGCAAGATGGGGGATGACCGCAAATCGCAAGACAAATATATATTTCTTGAAATACTAAATGCAAATGCGTGAGGTTGCAAGTAGTTTACATCTTGAGAATTTTTCTGGTAACCTTGCTTTGATACAAAGATGAGACTAATACATGCATTTTGCATTTCTGTATTCATGGATAGTCTCGCTTATTTATAAATGTCCATTGTGTGCTATAAATTGGAAATGCATTTGATTGATGCAAGATGTTCAATGCATGTCAGCATACAACAATATTAAAGTTGCACCCCTTATCTTATATAATTATTACGAAAAGTTATTTAGAACATATTTATACAGTATCTGGTGTGATTATCGTACACAAATTGTGAATACAGTGCGAGTGGCTTATAATAACGCTATAAGATTGGTCTTTAGCCTTAAACGGGCTAGCAGTGCCAGTGGTAATATCGTGAAGAGAAATATTTTAAACTTTGAACCTCTTCAGCGCAAGGAATTATATAACTTCAGTCTCTACCTACTTACTTACTTACTTTAATTTGTAATCTGTGTCAATTCTGACAGTTTTTTCTTATCCAAATTTTGGACTAATTTTAGACGTTGTATTCACTAGTGTTGGTGTTTGTAATGTATTTAATATGGGATATTTTTTGGCCTGAAATAAAGGATTAATAATAATAATGATAATACAGTGTATTTATATTGTATATAACTCACATAAAAGTTGAGAATAATGTTAATCAATTCTCTGCGGTTATGAATAGGATGGTTTCTCATATGCTCTGCATCATCAAGGTTGCCAAAGCTACACAAAGCAGCTTCCAAAATCTCAGTAGTACAGGTCTCATTCTGGAAAGTTTCAAATCTGAAAATAGAAAGTTAAGAAATGGTTTACACATTAGCTGAAAAAATATTTTGAGAAGTGGTCAACAAACTCAAGTACTTACTGTAAAATACTTTATTTTATCTATATTTTTATTAATTTTCACTGCAAGTTTTATTTTCACTGATTTTTGATGAGTTGAATATTGACACTAAAAAAATATTTGAAAAAAGATATATTTGCTGGATTTTATTTCCACTGAATCATCCCTTCAAAAGAATAAATTCCAAGTGAAAATAAAGTATTTTACATTTCATAGTTACATTTAAACCTTAATTCTAGTATTATAAACAAACATTACTGTCTACTGCTATTATTATTTTTGCTGAAGAGGGTGATTCAGTGAATATACCTTTTTTTCTGTATTTTACATTCAACTCATCAAATCAGTGAAAATAAATTTCATGAACACTCAAGAAGGCTTTTCTGTAAAAATTAATTCCAGTTAAAACAAGTCATTGAAAATGACACAGTCCCCATTAAGTTCTCTTTGTGCTCGTCATATTAAAGCGGAGGGGTTGTCGCGAGCGTGTCCTTGAAACTTGAGTTCCAAGTGGCATATACAACAGATTGTTTATTTACATCAAAACACGTGTTTCGTGTCATAGTAATATGGCCAAAATAAAAACAGCCGTTATTCAGCCATCTTTGATCTGATTATGAAACACACTGATATGTATGATGTATGTGCCAAATACGAATGAAAATGGTACATAAATTGTGGAAATATAGTAGTAAGGCCAAAAAGTCAGATGGC